GTGATAAAAAGGGAAATATAAATGACCTAAGGTATTTAGAGAGTATGCTTACTGTATTTAGGAATGTGACTAGACATTAGGAAAAAAAAAATATATATACTTTTATGGCCCTTCTTAAAATATAATTTAATCTTTAGGTGCTGTTGTTGTATAATTGCAGATTGTTTGCTAAATAATACATTTTAGTGGTCGCTTGTTGCTTCCTTTAAACATTTACATAATTGGCTTTTAGCACTTAGACCTATTCATTCTTTATGTGCTCTGGTTAGATGATTAATTGCCATAGATGAATAACTTTTATGTATTTCTGTTTTCCAGATATATTCATAGCTCAGGATGAGCTGGAGCTTTCTAACCCGCCTTCTCGAAGAGATCAACAACCACTCCACCTTTGTGGGGAAGGTATGGCTCACGATCCTGATCATTTTTCGGATCGTGCTGACCGCTGTGGGTGGCGAGTCCATCTACTATGATGAGCAGAGCAAGTTTGTGTGCAACACGCATCAGCCCGGTTGCGAGAATGTGTGCTACGATGCTTTTGCGCCCTTGTCACATGTCCGATTCTGGGTCTTCCAGATCATCCTCATCACAACCCCATCCATCATGTACTTGGGCTTCGCCATGCACCGCATCGCCCGCCAGCCGGAGGATTACCGGAGGCAGCTGGAAAGGGCTAAAAGCCAGAAGAAAAGGGCACCGGTGGTTCATCGTGGGGCCAAACGGGATTATGAAGAAGCGGAAGATGACAACGAAGAGGACCCCATGATCAGCGAGGAGCTGGTAACCGAAAAGGACGTTGAGGATAAGGACAAAAAGAAGCACGATGGGCGAAAGCGCATTAAGCAGGACGGGCTGATGAAGGTGTATGTGCTGCAGCTGCTTTTCCGCTCAGTTCTTGAAGTCGGGTTCCTCTTTGGGCAGTATATTTTGTACGGCTTTGAAGTCATGCCATCGTACGTGTGCACAAGGAGCCCTTGTCCTCATACTGTGGACTGCTTTGTGTCTCGTCCCACCGAGAAGACCATCTTCCTTCTCATCATGTATGCCGTCAGCTCCCTGTGCCTTTTGCTTAACCTGTGTGAGCTCTTCCACCTGGGCGTTGGTGGCATTCGCGATTCACTGCGACGGAGAAGCCGGGATGCCGATGAGGGCCAGTACTCTAAAAAGACCCCCAGTGCCCCACCTAACTACCAATCTGTGCTCAAAAAAGGGAAGGTGCCCAACGGTAAGCTGTATCCAGGGAATGGTGGGTCTGAAGCCTTTGAGATGCCAGTGACCCATGAGCTGGACCAACTGCGTCGGCATCTCAAGCTGGCCCAAGAACAACTGGACTTGGCCTTTCAATTGAACAGCATTGCCGGAACCGCCCAACAGTCACGGAGTAGCAGTCCAGAGGCTAACAGCATGGCAGCAGAGCAGAACAGACTCAACTTTGCACAGGAGAAGGGTGGAGGAGTCTGTGAAAAATCAGGTAAGGGCAAAGAGGTCTAAGTTCTCAACTTCAAGCCTCATGTCTGGGGGCATCCTGCATCCAAACCCAAAAATACAAATGCAGAGAAAGTGTGGAGTTTAAGTGACCCTAAACTCAGGAGTAAAATCTTAAAAATACATTCAGGTTCCTTCATTATCAAAAATGTCTCTTATTTGTGTATCACTCGACTGTAGATCCTCCAATCATCTCTGAATTGGTGCTGACACTGTCCTTCCTTCTGGAGGGGGGCTACTTTTGTTCCCCATGGTCCCTGTGTGTGTTAAGTAGTCACCGCTCCAAGCTCGTTCCTATGATGGACTACAATCTCAATACAAATTGGTAAACTAAATGTGAGTTTGTAGACCCATCACAGGAGCAGGTTTTGAGCGGTGACTACTTTACAACACATTGGGACATGTTTGAGATATCACTTTTGCTGCACAGGGAATTAAAAGGACACAGGAACTCTGACTAGATGACCTTTTTTTTCTTTGCACTTGAAAAAACGAATGCAACCACCATATCTAAGGACGGGTGAGCTGCAATATATTACATTTTGTTCTTGGCTTTAAAACTACTCAACACCCTCCATAGCATGTAAGGGCAGCTCCCCTCAGACACAAATTACATGCATGTATATAGGAACTTTGCTGACTGTGCCACTGCCATGCATTCTTCCTGGTCTCATGGATGTTTTGCATCACTACACGGGTAAAGCCACCCTTGTAGCAAGCATGTACATTGCACATGCAATGTAAAACAAGTTTGCTTTAATCCCCCGGCTCCTAGCACCACATACACATTCCTTTCCTTCACTCCCTCACCGCTCTGTTCAGTATAAAATTGTAGCAGGTCAGCCAGCACACAGCCTCTGAGTAAGGACCCATTCAAAACATGTGTGATGCTGTGCCGTTCTAATTGGCACCCCAATGCACCTTCCCTCCGAGCTTTCATTGCAGCAAATGCACTAAGGGCTTGTTCGGTAGCTGCCGGAAACACCGCAATCGCTCACAAAACTTCCCCCTGCGTTCTTGGGGCGTGACGGTGCATTGACGTCAATGGCACTGCAGCCATGCCCGCCCCTGTGTTCTTGGGGCGTGACGGTGCATTGAAGTCAGTGGCACAGCAGTCCCCCCCGGACACAACATTGCCTGCATTTTGTTCCACTGCAAACGCAAAAAATAGAGCAATCAGCATTCACGATTTTTGGTCTGTTATGATTTGTTGGGTAGCCCATTCGAATAATTGGGCTGCCATAGCAATGCTTTGTTAACATGCGACACATTGCATGTTTACAAACTACACTGCATCGTGCTGGTGTGATTGGGCCTAAATCTAACGCAGGTTTGCTTTGATGAAAACCTGTCATGGAGGAATAATAAAAGTTGCCATTGCTGACCTTTTTGAAAAAGCTTGTCGCCTGGCTGTCATGCTGATGCCTCGGTACTTTGAGTTGCTGATCAAGAACAAGAGGTAAGTATTATGACTTTCATAAGTTCCATGCTTGTTCCAGCTCGGCTGAGAACTGAACCCGGATGGCCAAGGACATAGCGTTTTCGATAATGGGGGTCAGCAAATGCTACATGCATGCATATGTATAATTCATTAAATGTGCCTGCCGATGCCAAGACCCAGTTAACCAGCTTCTGAATTTTTTTTTTGTCACTTTTCACACGAGTTCTACGTAAAAGCCTCTACAATGTTCCCCTACCCTGCGGAGAAGTACTATAGATGCATTGTATACGGGGTACAAGAGACCCATTCTTTCCTGTCCAGCCTTAGGCAAGGGCAGTGGGTCACTTGAGCCACAAGTATTCTGATGAAGCCACTTAAGTCTCTGCGCAAGCCTTTGTTTGTGCTGTAGCTGGGGTTTCACAGTTTAGGTTTTGACCACCGTTTAATAATCCGAAAAGTTCAACTTGTAGGCAAATATAAAGGATCCTGCAAAAAGCATGTGCAACCCTATGGTGTGAACCGGCCCTAAATCCGTCTTGTAGAGGGAGAGTCTGGTTTATAGGGTCTGACGTGGTACATGGACTGACTTTCAGTAGAAGGTGAACCAGAGCTTTGGCCATGCAGGGCAGCACAGGGTCACTTTATAGGCACCACCTCTTGGGCATGTTTAATGTTCTACGTATATTATAAATTACTGGATGTCAGTGGCCACTCTTGGTGATTGCCACTGTCTATTCATGGCAAAGTGACGTTCTCTTTTCAGGGACATCCCCAACCCACTGATGCTTGCCATCTGTGCTCTTTCCACTCCGCTCCTCTGTCGTAATTTACTGATACTTGCCTTAGGCTGGCTGCGCATTGCTCTATTTTTCTTGTTCAACTCACGGGGTAAATGACATAAAATAGAGCAGATTCCTCCATCAACACTTAGGAGTGTGTCGCTCGAGGAATCCCGCTGTTTACATTGTATTCTGACAGCGGCTGCTGTCGGAATACCCGAACAGAGCCAGTGGCTCGTTGGCCGTCGGCTTTGAGCGTAAGATTTTTCGGGCCAGTTCCTTCAAAATCAGCTGATCGAGGGATGCCGACCGAAAAGGGCGCCGACACCGGCACACACTGCGCATTTCATCAAATTAGCATAGTGTATGGGCACCCTTACTATGCGCTCCACTCCATACCTCACTCTGGGCGGCCAATCACCTGGCCGGATTAGTCGCGTGCTCAGCACAATTTTGCCACATTCATAATTCACCACCTCCATTCTTCTGCTCCAACAGTGGGAGAGGCTTAAAACTTCAGCCTACATACAGGGTTCAGATATGTGTAATGTACAGAGTGCAGGGGTCAGCATTTGGTAATGTACAGAGTGCAGGGGTCAGCATTTGGTAATGTACAGAGTGCAGGGGTCAGCATTTGGTAATGTACAGAGTGCAGGGGTCAGCATTTGGTAATGTACTGCAGGCTGTTCCCATCTCTACCAGCAGTCTACATTTCCTCCCATCTCCGGATGCACTGGATGTTGTCTTGGGAGAATGCAGCCATGTTCTCTTTCGGCGTGGAAACCTCTGCACTGCTGGCAGAGAGCTAATGGGATGATGGCTCTGAGGGGACAATCTTCCTTGTGAGCCATCAATCTTGGATGGGGGAAGTGTGTTTACTGGTAGGATCATCAGGCTAAAAATAAAGGGGGGAACCTAAGGCAATGCATCCAGTCGACACATTGAAGAACTAAGCTACTTTGGTCCACCCCTGCTTTACCCTGAAAGGGCAATCAATATGGAATCCAGTAGCCAGTCAGTCCAATCTAGGCTTTGGCAGGATTGTTTAATTTTTTTTTTTTTTTTAGCCAATTTTTTGAACTAGCGATCCTCAAAAGTTAGCTATGATTTTCAAGGAGGGATTTGTCCAATCCTGCTGTAAAGTGACCACAGATTCTTAAAGTGAGACATTCCCCTTGAAGTATGTACAATGTTGCAAAGAGTCGCATATTATGTACAGAAGAATGGTGTTCTCGCCAATTGCAGCTTTTTGTAGCTTTTAATTGTTGGCTTTGGGAAGTTGTACATTGCTTTTATCAGCTTGATGGATTTGTGTAATACTTGACTAATACTTTTTTCTATTCCGCAGGTCTGTGATATTCGGCAGATGGGGGCGGGAGGACGGGGGACTTGAAGCATTGCCAATCCTGAACGACAACTGGAATTGAGTTACTATGAGGGTCCTGACCCCTCCCTTCCCGGCCAGGAAACTCTGCGGAGGGTGAAGAAAAGGGAACGTCTAGGGGGAGCGCAGGTTATGAATAGCGCTCTGTTTTCCGACTGCGAAAGCTGCATCGTGTTCTGGAAAGTTTATCGAAATATTGCTGTTAATCCCACTCCCTGCTGATGGCTGAAGCAGAGCCACCGGCAGACCTAAATGCTACTGGTTTACAAGGACGACCAGCCGCCCGCTTCCAGGAGCAGCAACAAGGGCTATGGCTGGCACGCTCATTATTATTTTTTTTCTTTAACATTTTTGTAACTTTTTTTTTTTTTGTCTCTCGTTTTCAGTTGAATGTTCATACAGCGGTTGAAATGTTTAAACGTAGTGGTACTGAATCATTTCAATGTTTTCTATAAAAAGGGAGGTGGCTTGTTGCCCATAGTTATTTTTTTTTAATTTTTTTATTGTATGTTTAATGTAAAGGAAACTGCGACAACGTGGAAATTATCGGTACAGATGGCGCATCGTCCGACAGCAGCACGCTTTGCCACAGCGGAGGGCCCTCTTTATGTGGGCTGACAAAGGGAATTGTGCCGGGAATGTCTTTTTTTTTTTTTTTCTTATTTTTTTATTTAGCGCTGTACAAAGTTCAAGTGTCTGCTGTGCTGACGCGATCTATGCATCAGGCCAAGTCAGTGTGAAAGACTCTTTAATAGGGGGAGGGGAGGAGAACCAAAATTTCCAACCTCATTTTAAGAAGGAAAAAAAAGGGGCTTTAACATTCCATTGCCTCTCCTTTCCCCCTCCTCTTGCACACCTTCGGTCTCGAAGTGGTACGACCCTGCTGTGCCACTTCACTATTCCAGGGGCTGAGGTGATCCACTTTGTCGAAGGTGGGGGGGATTACTCCACTTAACCCTTTGCAGCTAACAGTTTAGTCCATCTGGCAGCAAAGGGTTGATGCTACACATTCCTAAAGCCTTTGCAAATACCAAAAAGTGTCTTCTCAAGGAACGCAAAAGGGAGTTTGTGTACTCCTTTCTGTACGGAGGTGAAGAGCTGTTTTAAATGCTTTTCTTAAAGGGGACTACAACTGCTTACACTTGATGTATGTTGTGAAAGGTTTCTTTGTGCTAGGGCAAAAAAAAAAAAGTAGGCTGTGATGTGAAATGCCATTTTGTTCTGGGCCAAGCCTAAGTTATATCCAAAACGTATTTTATATATATTTTAGATAGTGGTCTGAATGCAAGTTACTTAGTGTTAGCGTTGTAATTTATCTGTATCTGTTTAGTGAAGTTTAAACTCTGCAGTGGCCTCATCATCCTCCCTGGAAGAGTTGAGCAGAAGAAGGTTTTTGGTATTCTGTAGTTCTTCTAAGCTCCTGCCATTAGTGCGCTAGTTGTCTGTATGGCCACGATGACCAATGTGGTATTTTGTGAGATGTCATTTCACAAGCTGGGAGGTGGGTTTGGGTCACTCTTCTGAAAATCGCAAGTGTGACATGGGCTTATAGTGTGAAAACGTGCCAAGATGCCATCGGACACCTGTGGATTTATGTGCCTTTAACGTGACAATAAATTTCAGGAGTTAAATCCTAAAAATACATTCCGGTACCTGAACTATTAATAAAAATGTGTATTTGTGTATCACTCGGCTGTAGATCCTCAAATCATCTCTGACACTGTCCTTCCTTCTGGAGGGGGGCTACTTGTGTTCCCCATGTTCCTTGTGTGTGTGTTGTAAAGTAGTCCCAGCTCCAAACTCGCCCCTGTGATGGACTACAATCTCAATACAAATTAGTAAACTAAACATGAGATTGTAGTCCATTGGAGCGGTGACTACTTTACAACACACACACAAGGAACATGGGGAACACAAGTAGCCCCCCTCCAGAAGGAAGGACAGTGTCGGCACCAATTCAGAGATAACTGGAGGATCTACAGCCGAGTGATACACAAATAGGATAGATTTATGTTAATAAGGTACGTAAATGCATTTTTAAGATTTAACTCCTGAGTTTTAGTCACTTAAATCTTCAATAACGCCCGGTCTGCTGCAAGCAGCTATCAGTGTGTTTTTGTCTGCTGAATTCTGAAATTTCTGGACACAGGACGCCCCACACTGTTGATGTC